GTCGGTTGCGGCTCGATTCCCGGAATTTTTATTCGAGCATATCATGGGGTCCGGAGAATAAGTGCCGAAACTACGGGTGCCAAAATCGAAAATTCTGCTAAAAAACACACGTGTTGTTAACACCTATAGTACTCCCCCTACAGTACCACAGGCTAATGACCTAAGTTGTCAAAGTCTTAACCATAGTAAAAAAAAAAAAATCTGTTCATATGCTTTATCATAACATATTCTTTTTGACACATATGTTTCATCGAATGAATGAACGTTGAATTTGTCAGTCATTGGCATTAAAGATCCTTAATATACATATAATATACTATACATATTCATTTCTGTACTAGGGAATTTAACAGTCTTGTGTACCTACTCTAGTCGTTGTGAACACATTCCTTCGGTAGTGTTGCCAACAACTCGGCTATCCTGGGTCTTTTACAGCTTCCTCGCTGTATTAATATATAAAACTAGCTGATCCCGTGCACTTCGAAGCCCGTTAAATGTAACAACTCTATATGACTCAAACTTTGTTCAATTCGTTATTTAATATTCGGCGTATGGTGTTCAAAATTTATCATAACTTTTCTGTTACCCGGAATAAAAATTCTGTTTCGCAGCAGTACATTATCAGGTAGGCAATATAGGTCTAATCTACACACAAAGATTAATTTATATACATATATATATATTGACAAAAAATAATACAAATCATTAAGCAACAAACATGCCCAATCAACCAATAGCATCCAATATATAATACACTGTTGCGCTACTGTTGTATTATTTACAACTAGATTTCCTACTTTTCCGGTGGATATTCCTAAAATTTTCTTTCTTAAAAATCTTCTCATTTCCATTACGAACATCTTAAAAAAAATTTGTGCCAAATCGGACCAGACGTTCTCGATTGATGAGGTAACGTACATTTTTCATGCTCCATTTATATATATATAGATATTTAAAATACAATTCAAAGGGATTATTTACGTTCAACCTTTGGGTATCGGACATAAATAAGTGTATGTTTTATTCCGCCCAAATTAGGGCACCTAACTAGGTATGTTACTCCGCAATTTTGAGACTAATAATGTTATGTTAATATACATTATTCCCCCATTATTTTATAATTTTATCATTGATAAATAAGTCGCAAAATGGTGGCATAGCATATTCATTATATGTAGAGCATTACCCCAATAAATTACAGTATGTTTCAAAACGTTTGGAAGTGAACGCTGTACCCCTGTCAATAATGATTTTTTTTAGTGAGCCATATAACAACATAAAACTTTTTAAACATTTCAATACTGAATCAATGTCACATCTACGCACTGCATATAATTTCACATACTTTGTTAAGTTGTCAACTATAATACCAGAATATGATTGTTACCTGATGTAGATTTTATGAATGGTCCAATATGATAGAGATGGATAATTTCAAATAGTCTCTTTCCTGGAGAAATTAGATGAAGTTCGCCCTGTTGACGTTCCTTCTCCTTCGGTACCTTGTTAAGCATATAATATTCTGGACAGCATTTTATGTCATATCAAACATACCTGCGCATACGAGCAAAATAATAACTTTCCATTATCTTTGACACCGTCCTATCTACTGCGAAATTACCAGATAAGTCATGCGAACCACCATACTCTTTGTCATTCCATCTGGTACCACCCTCAATTGACGTGTCTCCTCATATACCTTGGCTGTTCGATATAGTATACCTACACTCAAAACATAATTGATAATCATACAGTTCTCAGCTACTGAACGTTCTTCTGGTCTTTTCGTCAAGTTATTAATGATATCCCGTAACTTCTCATCACTTCTCTGCATTATCATTACATGTTCTTCTGGCATTGCTAGAATTACTTCATAGTCTTCTAATTCTTGTAAATAAACCAAGGTCATAAGTTTTCAACGAAGAATAAAATAAATAAATTGATACTTTTGAGTTGTTTCATCCGAGGTCGTTACTAATCTTTGTTAGAAGTTGGTAAATAGTTTTGAGCTTAAAGAACATGAGCTACTAGATACTGCAGGTTCTCTAAAATTGGATTAGTAAAATATTAATTAAAACAAAATAATTCACACCGTGGGTACATTAGTTAAGTAGTAACTCAAAAATTTAAAAGTTTTGAGTTACACATCTTTTCTAATGATAAAAATAACATTATTTACTATAGTGCATTATGTCGTCCTGGAAAAATCGAATATGTTAAATCCTGAATTGTTTTTAGCGCGTTGCTACTCCATACAATTGTAGTATGTGAACTGTCACAGACATTAACGGTTGTAGCGGTGACGGCCAAATTTTGTCTTTCCATGTTTAGAGTGCTATGAGGTATGACGTGATGTCTTTTATATTATAAAGAACAATATATCTTCGTCAAGAGCACGTTTTGAATGGCACCATTCATAACATGTATAATATATGATATTGTGAATTTCATTTAATATTGACTCATTGGGTTTGGATTTTGTGTAGTTCCTCATACTCATGTGGTTTAAACTAAAAAACTTTAAACTAGGTAGGGTAAAACAGTGGATTAAGGCTATTGGCGACCACCACTTAAAAAAAAACGCACTGTGTGCAATGGCCCCACCTAGGGTGGTGTGGAACGATTGCAAAAAACTTGTATTTGGTAACAGCCTGAAAATTATTTATGAAATAACAATAAGATTTGTAATGATAATATTATTTGTTTTTATCAGACATTTTCAGCATCCCCATAACACCGGTTGGCATAGACCTAGAAAAACAAAGTCAAGGGTGACCTAACAAAGATAAAAATAGTATATATAATAGTATATAATATATTTTAAAAATAAATGTATTTTTTTGCTATTTTCTAGAGTCCATCGCTTCATGTCCCATTGTAAAAAGGTGTGATGCAGAGGCTACACCCAGTGATAAGTGTCCAATCAAGGATGACCGTTACCATTGCAGTATATGCCAAAAAAAGTACAAAAAACATATAACAACACATTCCCACCATAAGATAAATAGTGTCCAATCGAAGTATATCATAGTAATACATAGGCTATTTGATTTACATACAGATTTTGTATTTTTTCAGACATTGGACATAAGATATAAATATTTAATGTCAGAGTATAGATTTGAACTTGTTATGCCATGAATAATCTTCTTGTTTTATGTAATATGCAATAAATATCAACTCGCATAACTATATTTGACGTTCTTGAATTAAGTGCCCTCCGACCAGTGTTGGGAATAGATAACTAAATAATTATCTAGATAAGATAAGATAATTTTAACAAAATATTATCTAGATAAAAATAAAGATAACATAAATGTAATTTATCTAGATAAAGATAAATACAACAATACATTTATCTAGATAAATATAATTTTTTTACACTTATTTTTAATGTTTTTTTAGTATTTTTTTAATATTAGATTTCTATCAATATAATGACATAATATTTATAAAAACAACGGTATGAGACTTTAAATTTAACTATTTGAATATTATACCTATAAGAATGAAACATCAAAACATTTAAACCAATACTAGTATTCCACTGTTCAAAATTATGTAGTTAGCTGACTCTTTATTCTTTAATACTATAATATTTCTACCCCTACTTATATAAATGCATACAATAATGAATTAATAATAATTGATACATTTTAATACAAAACTAGTCAAGTAAAAAATAATTAATTTGTATTATCTCAAGGAAAAGTCAGTTCTAAATAAATCTTGTCAAATGCCTATGTATGCACTGATAGGCTATAGCCACTTGTAAATCATATTAAACCAATATTAAAAAAGGATGAACCAAGGATGAACTTAAATATTTAAAAAACATTTAAACAGTAAATAATACATTATAATCAATGTTTGGTAAGAAATAGTTGAATGCTAAAATATAAGCGAATTGTTTTATACTGAATACCTACAACATTTTTAATAGTTCATAAGACAAAAAAAAAATTATAAAATTACAACTGTATAATATAAATAAAAAAAAAATATTTCATAACAAAAACAAATAACAATGTTAATAAACCTTTTGTTAGAACTACATGACATTAGAAGTTGTTTGAATTAAGATTCTGACATCTACAACACAAAAGCATTTCAAATGTTTTATCATTTAAACGATTTCTTCTTGGTGTCATGATTTGTGATCCACTACTAAATAAACGCTCTACTGGAGCAGAAGAGGGAAGTGTTGTATTGTATTTGAAAAACATTTTCTTTATGATTGGAAATGAATTAAGAACATTAAAATCTTTATTTTTTGAGTTTAAATATTCCATAGCTTGAGCATTAATACAATTATGATTGCTTTGAATATCAATATCCACATCTAAACAATTCTCTGATAGGACTTGAAAAAATTCTTGGTCACTACTATCACTATCAACATTTTCATCAGTATTCAAAACAGCTTCTTTATCAGTATTAATTAAATAGCACTCATCAAAAAATATTTGTTTACAATATGATTTGTATCTATTGGGTATCCAGGATTGTTTAAACTTTGGGTGGCTTATAGCAGATAAAATGAAGGATTTACTTTTGACTTTTTTTAAATCAAATATATAATCAAATCTCTTCTCCAAACTGCTTATAATATTAAAGCATAAAGGTCTACAGTGAACCAAGTTATCCATCTGTATTAATAAAAGCCTTAATGCCAGTGTAGTGGGGGCAACACAACCTAAATGACAAGACCTTTCACCTTGCAATTTATCCAATGATTTTGCAAGGGGGCCCATCACCTTACAATATTTTTCTAAAAAACTCCATTCATTTTTTTTCATTTTTAACTCATTAAACACCAAGACTAAATTCTGTTTATTTGTAACTACTTTATGTACAGCATCATACATAGAATTCCATCTTGTCAAATTAGGAACTGAAAATTTACAACTACATAAATCAAAAACTTTATCTGAGACTACAGTACTTCGACTAAGAAGATTCCAAAATGATGATAACTTTTTAAATGTAATTTTTGAAATTTAATTATAGGCTTGATCAACTATTTTGGCAGTATCAACTGAAGCTATTAGATTTAACGTGTGTGCTGAACATGTTAAATGACTTGGTAGAGACATTGTATTAGTAATTGTTTCTTTATGATTTAACATCAATGAAGACAAATCTACAACGTCAAATTCAAGATTAGAATCATTTACATCATCATCAGTCATCACTATGTTAACATCGCTATCTGAGTCATCACTACTTATTAAGCCTAAATAATTTGAATCAGAAATATGTGTATCAGTCACATTAAATTGTTTTGAAAATGTACGAAATGCCTTGCCAAAATTTGAGGCATTGTCAGTAACTACATGGGTAACTTTTTCATTATCAATTTTAAAGTCCAGCATTATTTCATTGATTACTTTGGCAATACCGTCAATCGAGGTGACTTGGAACGATTTTGACATATTTCTTGTTATTCTGAGCTTAAAAAAAATCGCACTGGACTACAAAAAATACATATATGTTTGCATACGTCTCATGAATAGGATAAGACCTTTCATTTAGTTTTTTGACCAAAACTGAACTTAAAAAAAAGTAAAAAGTACGTGTTCCAAGTCACCTCAATTTTTGGGTGACTTGGAACAGCTATGAAAATTTAATGTGAAATTCAATTCAAGAACGTTAGAGGTGACTCGGAACAAAATTTTTATTTTTAAAATTAACACAAGAACATGTTAAATAAATATTAAAAAGAAACAGGTTAACTTTACCTTTTTTTAACAGTAAACTAAATATTTAAATAATAAAATATCAATAACATGATAAAAACAAAATAAAAATTCTTTCTAAATAGAAAAACATAACTAAATAGTTCTTCAAAATAAACACAAATACATTTTAAATATCATCGAGGGCCTGTTAAAGTGTTTCGTCACTGTCATTTATATATGTCCGGCTACCCGGTATACGCTCGTATTTGTTTGGCATTTTTGGTGTTCCAAGTCACCCTCAATTTTCTTCTGTAAAATAAAACTTATAGTTAAGTTATAAAATTATAAAAAAATGTTTAAGGACTTTTAACTACAAAAGTCTGCTTTTGAAGTGTCCTTTAATGTATAAAAAATATACAAATCTTTAAATTTGACTTCAATCACCAACATTTGAAGCACTTTTGAGAGCAATGATAAAATCGTTGTTATCATAAGAAATGTTTGGTTATTTTTTTCGGTGGTAATGATAAGACCAACCACATGGTTGATGATAACATTTATTATCACAAATATTGTAAATTTAATTTAAATGCAGGCAGATTTAAATTATATCGTTTTGTTTCATAGATAACCTGATATGTTTAAAAAAAAACCGGGGTGTTTCATTTCACCTCAAAGTTCCAAGTCACCTCGATTGACGGTATTTAAATAAGTATGATTTCCTTTTATACGCCTGCAAGCTAATATATAAGAATACCTACTGTAGTTAAGTTCATCGATAAAATGACAAGTCATTCCTAAATAGCTCTTATTGTTGGAACTCCAAATATCAGCAGTAACACACACATAACTTTGTTTTTCAATAAATCCAGTTGACATTTCTACATAAGCTTTATATTTATGGTTTAGTTCACTGACAAGAGCTTTTCTGTATGGAAGTACAATAGAATCTGATGTAAGGCCTCGAATCAACCGTTTGAATGATGGTTTTTCACATATTGCTAGTGGTTTCATTTCTTCAACAATGTAGTTAAAAACTAAATCCTTCACCTGTAATAAAATAATTATAATATAATTATAATTTGGAAAGACATAAAATGTGCATAAAATAGTTAGGTAGATGTATTTATATAATTGCTATTTGCTTATGATTTTTTGTTTATATATATATTGAAAGTTATATATACTAGAAAGTATTTTTTAATTTATATATTGAATCATATTTTTTCAAGTTAACTTCTGACTTAATAATTTCAATTTTATTTCAAGATGTTATAAAGTTTTTAATTTTTCAAATGGTTTTATTTTAAAACACACTTACGTTTTGGAATTGTCACAAAATCATCCCACAGTAATAAAAATAAAAATGAGTTAAGCCGTTGATATACCCACGACTTAAGTTATTAGTATATTAATGTATAGATAGTTACTAACCAGTTCTTTTGACACTTTTGGAGTATCATAGATTTTTGTTTGAATCATTGTTGATGTTTCTTGATCTTTTTTTTTTCTTGCGTCTTCTACTTTCGACATCAACGAGTAATGTTTCCGCTATAAATATTAGATAAATTCAACTATAAGTTTAAAATATAGTTCAATAATAAGAATAATAATAATTAGAACCTGTATACAATATAGCCATGTTTAAGTTACTTAGATCAGTTAGGCCTTAGGCGTAGCTTTTTGGTTATTATTTTTATACTTATTTTAAAAATATATTTAATATAATTATTATGAAAAGTAAATTTCAACTGTGATTCATTTTCTGTAATAAAATTATTTAAATACAAATGAGATCAAATTATTTTTATACAAAGTTGTTTTAATATCATATATTTAATTAACATATTATAATAGGTAGGTACTTTGATTAATCATGATGTATGACTATTTTTTTTTATGTTAATTAAGTTTTCATTGTACAAAGTAAAAACTATGATATCAGTAAAACAAAATTGATTTGTTAGGTCAAAAAATATAGGATTCCCGACCATATAGGTATACCTACATATTAAATTTTTTTCAAGTAGCATTATACTGTATTTTTTAAATTTAAAACAAAACTACATATGTATTTTTAGATACTGAACACTAGTATAAAAATTTACAAATATTGAATTATGATATAACTGATCAAATAAAATATGAGGGGGTACTAATCTAAATTGCTGAAGTATTAATTTATAAGCATCAACAAGTTAAACTTCATACATATGATTAATAAACAAACTAGGTATTAATGTGTTGTTTATCAATCTTTTTTTTAAATAAAATAAAATTTAAATAATTAAGCTTACCTTTATATGGCTTAAAAAATTACCACTTGATTTTGTGGACCCACTAACAACTTTAGAACAGTTTTGACAAACAGCTGTTACTTTAAGATTTTCCACATTTCGAAGCTTATAAAATTCGTCAAATAAATATTTATAATAAGGTGCAGGTGCAAGTGAAACGTGAGTAGAAATGACAGTTGTTGAGTCGTCCACATTTTGAGCTTCTGCTGGTTCGACGTCCAAACGAATTTTTTTAACTGATGTGGAAGTTATAAATCGATCCATGATTTAACGGCTCAAATATAAAGTCACAATTCACAAGTAGGTAATAAAATGGTGTTTATACCTTTTACTAGACAACGGTCGCCTTATGGCTTATACAGTTATACAAGAAATCGTTGGGCTCTGTAGTCTTAAGGTCTGGACACACATGCCCGCAACGTACCCGCACCGTGTGTCGGCCGAGTGTTGATCGATGCACGGTTCGTCGTTCACGAACACACACTTGTCCGTACCTTGTCCGTAGCTCGTCCGTGCCGCCCATGCCGTTTTCATACTAGCTTCAGCTGTTTCAGTTTGTTTCAGTATTTTGCCAAGGGAGGACGCGAGAACTATGTTTAAAAGTTTTAAAAACAGTGAGTTAGCAATTATAGCGCTTGCGTTAGAAGAAGAAGACGAGAAATGGAGAAGTGAACATAAAAGAAAGAAAAAAATGTGGATACACAATGCATGGAAGTCAAGAACCATTGAGGGGGAATTTTTCACGTTGTTACCTCATCTAATGGATGATGAAACAAAGTTTTATGAGTATTTTAGAATGGCTCAAACAACATTTTACGATCTTTTGATGGAGCTAGAAGAGAGGTTGAAAAAACAAGACACTTTTTGGAGGTTATCAATAACACCAAAACAACGTTTGGCTGTATTTTTAAGGTAAATTTATATTATATATATATTGCGTATATAATATATTATATTAGTTTGTATTTATTTTAAAAAAGATTTTTTACTTAAACAAAAATACATAAATATTATTTTACTTAAAATTGTTTATTACTTAGTATTATTTTGATTAAAAAGTTAGTTCTACTCAAACCTGTCCAGTTCAAACATCCCACTGTTAAAGTCGGATACTTGTGTATTCATACTTGCAACTGAATGAGGCGATGGATATGGTGTTGAGGTTGTTGAGTCAAACTGTGATGATGATGCTGTTGGATATAGTTCATGTGTATGGTTTGGATTGACTGGAATACGTACATTTTGCTCATTGCTGTACATAAGCTGCTTCATCTCAAATTCCTGTGTTATAGAAAAAATAGCACTTTTAGCTTGATTTTGTAGTATAGGATTAAGTGCCTTAAGTGTAGGAGCTATTCCACTCAAAAAAGCATCAATTGGATGCTAAACTGTAGATTCTACTTCTTTTTTAGATTTTTTATTTTCTTCTTCCTTCTCAGCTAACATAAATGCCATTAGCTGGCTTGCTGGAGAATCTATAGATTTTCCTTCATGAATCATTTTTCGTTTGAGTGGAGGTCTAAATGCATTTTTCTTCACAGATGAACTAGATGCTTTGGCTAAAGTTTCTGTTGTAGATCTAAGAGTATCGTCTACAGAATCAGTGAAATTATTTTGAATTTCAGTTATTGATTTATTGCTTCTGTCTCTGTCATTCTGTGGCTCACATGTTTGTCCACTGAATTCTTCCGGAGCTTCACTATTAGTAATTTCCATTTCATTATTTTGATCCTCTTCAAAATTATCCACGTTGGATAATGTGTCGCGTTCTGAAATGTGTGGTAAAAGAAACTCAAGAATATCTTCATACTTATACTTTCGGTAATTCACTGCAGCCTGTCCAGATGCTGTCTTCCTTTTTTGTAGAGTTCTACGGAACTGATCTCTGACAGAAGACCACTTTTTTTTACATTCTTCTATTCCACCTAAAACATTCAGCAATAGTTATTTTATTTTAACATTACTTGATAAAAATGTATTTTTCAGGTTTCTTGCTACTGGAGATACTTTCAAGACTATTTCCTTTAACTACAGATTAGGAAAGTCAACAGTTGCTGCTATTGTTCATGATACCGGCAGAATAATTGTAGATGTTCTATTAATAAAAATGATGCCAGTACCAAACCAAGAAAAATGGAACGCTATAGCTACTGATTTCTGGGCTAGGTGGCAGTTTCCAAACTGTATCGGTGCTTTGGATGGCAAACACGTTGTAATACAAGCTCCAAAATTATCGGGATCTCTATATTGGAACTACAAAAAAACGTATTCAATTGTGCTTCTTGCCCTGGTTGATCCTTGTTACAACTTTATTGTAGTTGATGTTGGTTCTTACGGGAAAAATTCTGATGGAGGAATTTTTTTGAATTCAAACTTTGGAAAAGCTTTACAAAATGGCAAGCTCAATGTACCGGCAACAAAAAAAATCCCCCAAACTAATACTGAACTTCCAATGGTTATTGTAGCTGACGAAGCATTTCCACTCAAAACTTATATGATGAGACCCTATCCAGGAAAAGACCTGACGAATGAAAAAAGAATATATAATTACCGTCTGAGCCGGGCGAGGAGGGTATCTGAAAATTGTTTTGGAATTTTGCAACAAAAATTTCGGATATTCACGAGAAGGCTTCAGGGGAATCCTGAAAACATAACAACCTTGGTGTTGGCCTCATGTGTTTTGTACAACTTTATCAGGAAAAATGAAGGCTGCAGTGTTATTCAATACAACCAAATTCAAGAAAACGTCAACAACTCAGAAATGTTATCGAATCTACATCAGTTACCACACCAGCGTGGAAGATCTGCTGATGAAGCATTTGCTGTTCGAGAACAATTTAAAAATTTTCTTAATTCTGTAGAAGGTAGTGTAGAATGGCAAGAACATACATCACTAGCAATTTAATTTGTAATTAATTTTAGAGTGTTCATTGCTATTATTTTGTAATTGCTATTGTTCAAATATTGATACTCTTATTTAAAATAGAGTAAATATAATTAACTGTTTTAAAAAATAATATTTAATTACGTATGTTTTTCTTTCTGTATTTTATATTTTTATGCACACTTTGAACCCCTCCCTAAAAGAGATTTTTCTATTTATATTGAGAAAAGTGTACATTTATTAGGGCCTCAAGTCGTCTACAAAAAAAAATAGTTACGACACTGACAATGCACAACATCAACGTTATCTACAATGCGAGCGATTTATAAATAAATCTATTGATTACTTATGTATTAATGTAGGTACTATTAATAGTATAATAGATTTACCAAACTTAATAACAATAGATAACATCACATTAAAATATTAAATATTAAATATTACATAACACGTGGTTACTAGTCATAAACTAATATAAAAAATATAAAAAATACTTATATAAAAATGTACAGTAAAAATATTATGTAGACACTTACCTTTGACTCCTAATGTTGTTGAGATATTAGTCCATACTCTATCTTTATACTCAGAATTTCGATATTTTTCGCTGGTTTGGTCGTAAAGGACCGGAAACTTTCGAACTTCTTCGATCAACTTTTCTACATCAACCATACTTGCTTCGTAAATACTACTAAAGACTATAGACTAAACTATATTATAAGCTTTGTTTACTGACTGCCGAATGCTGAGAGTGACGCCGAGCTCGCACCGTCAACGTCAATTAATTAAAATATTTTATCGTGTTCGGTCCTGTCTCGGTGCGGTGACAGCGCTCGGCCGTGATACGGTGATGTCTGAACTATTGTTATTTATATCATTGCAGTATTCATTCACCGAGTGACGGTCAACACTCGGCCGACACACGGTGCGGGTACGTTGCGGGCATGTGTGTCCCGACCTTTAATGAAATAATATGCTATAATACTCTTTCATTAAGAAGTAAGAACGCACTGACACACTGCTTCGCGCATCGACGCATCGTTATCAAAGGTTCAACCGGTTTTCGTCAGCCGCCTGGTGCGTTTTCATATGAAATACAGTTCTACGAAGTTAATTTTTATTTATTTTTAGAATGGATGGGGAAATAAACCTATACCTAATTAATTTTAATATGCTCATTATGATTTATGGCTAGTAGAGAACGATGTATTGTGCATGCCCGCATGCAGGTTCTCGTAATACTCGTTGACAATAATTACATGAAATATATTTATCTATTGGTTTTATAATTTTGTAGTGGCACTATAATATTTATCTAGATAAATTTATCTAGATAAGCCCATTTTTTATCTAAGCTAAACGTTAGATAAATCGTAACATAATTATCTAGATACTTTAAAAGATAATTTATTTCAAAAAATCTTATCTAGATAAGTTATCTAGATAATTCCCAACACTGCCTCCGACCTACAACGCAAACACCACTTAATTAGTTCCTTTTTTTGTTTTTTATAGGTATACCTAGGCATGGACAAATCGATTAGCAAGTGCTACAAAAGAGCTCATCATCGCTGGTACGTTACATTGTTTATTATATGTTAACATTTTCAAAGTACTTAATTATTTTTACTTTTCATTATAGGTGTTAATGATTTCTCACTGTTATACTCGGACAAGTCATACAAAAAAGAAGAACCGCACTTACTTCTGGGGCCGATAGCTTTTGTAAACCACTGCTGTTTACCGAACTGCACATTCATAGTAAAATTTATTTACAGGCTGTACATGATATTTAAAGTGGTGAAGAATTAACTGTTCAATATAGTACAGAGTATTTTGGAGACGACAATGCAAAATGTTTATGCAAGGTGTGCTGCACAGTCTACACAGATGGTAAATACAGTGGTAATTAATATAATATACATATTATTGTGATTTATTTAATATATATAACATTTTATTTTTTATGGTGGTTGAAGAATTGATAACAGCATCCATTGCCTCCAGTGATTGTGTGAAAGTTGATGATGCTGGTGTTGGTAAGGATATTTATTTTGTTTTAATTTGGTGTATTTTTTTAAAATTTAACAACAGCAAAATTAATATGTAGTAATACATTGTAGGTGTGAAAACGTTAGTACCTGGTAAGATAATTTCACCAGCAAATGCAGTTGTACAAGGATTACAGCAGGTTAAAAAAACATAAAAACATTAAATGGTATGCCCAGAAGAGTTCAGCTATCCTTGGGGAAAATCGAGGCACAACAAAAAAAAAGGTAATAAATTATAACTTAGATAATTTGAACTCTTATAAATATTATAATTTCTAATTTTTTATAGTTTTGGACTTAGAGCTCTGCAAGTGGTATGGTTGGATTCGGGAGGCCCTAAGCTAGGTATCTCGGATTTGCATTGAAAAAATTCCCAAGTGTCCAGAACGGCCGTCCGGCAGATAAGTATATGATTTACCGCTGGATCGCAACTAAAAAATCATTTTTCCAGTTATAAGTCCTGGACGCCGTAATTCTAAGTTGTTAACTTTGAAACTTTTAAAACACAATTTTAAATCACATTTCAAACATAATATTTCTTTACGTAATTTAGTAGGTTCGATTCATTTGTATAAAATGCCTTTGTTTGTTTCACTTTTGCCGTTACTTGGATGTCTTAACTCTTGGGTATTATTATTTTGTCTGATTAAAATGTTTGGATTGGCTTCTTGATTGTTGTTATTGTTAATGATTTGAATGAGTTCCGGAAAAGTTAATAAAGAATTTGGTTTTTTTGGAATTTCAATTAATTGTAATTTTGAATCTAAAAGTTGTTGATATCTTGATAAGTTTTTAATTATGTCTGTATGAATTGTTTTGGTATTTGTATCGAAAGTATTTGTAATATTATTTAAAAAATTTTTTATAAAAAGGTATTTTTGAATATATTTTTTTGCATTATCTTCATTTTTTTTTATATATTTTCCCTTTTCATATTTAAATACTGTTGTAGGTATCTGAAACAGAAGACATAATGCAATTAAATAAATTATTTGAATATATGACTCGTGATTGTCTCTTACTCCATAAAAAAGTGACGTCACAAAATAATTAAGTTCATTTATATTTAGAATGTTGTTAGCAATTTGATTTGATGAATTTTGTATTTTATTATTAATTAAATCATGATCTTGAAGTATATATATTTATTTGTGTTTGTTGAATATATTGTTCTGTTGATAATTTTTTTAAAATTTCTTATAGTTGTCTTTTGGTGATGAATTGTAAATTTATTTTGAGCATTAAAATTAAAAAGTGGTTGTAAATGTTACCCAGCTAAAAGGAAAAACAAAAAGCGTTAGTTTGGATTATGTTAAGAGCAGTTAAGAGTCTTCTTAAGTTTCTAATATATTTTAAATGATTAATAGGTACCGTATAATATTACGATGTGCGACAACAGAGTACTTATAATAAATTTGTAGCCCACAAATAACGTACAGTTCCACATCTTCATAATTTAATATGGGGAACTCCACTATGGAGTCCTCATTCAGGACTATAGATACATAGTTTATGTCTTTATTAGCAACTGCATATCTGTTCAATTAAAAATTGTACATTATTAATTTTATTTTTATTTTTTACTAATTTAAATTTAATATTTTAGGTAATTATTGTTTTATAGAAGACGTCATACTTACGACAAAGAGTAGTCATCACTGACTGTACACCGATGATGCCACCACTTTTCTATATCCATAGCTTTTAGAACATTAAAATTAATATAACCACTCATATTGATAATCAATTTGTCTTCTTTAATAAATGGTTCCGTTTGTTTAAAAAATATATTGATGTACTGCCTTATAATGTCTAATTGGATTAAATTGGTTTTCATGGCAATCAGTTTTTGTAATAGATCACTGTATAATAATAAAAATATGTGTTTCGAAATATAATTATATTAATAATTAATATTTTTAAAATTTTTATACTTACTCATTAGTATTAGGAATGTTATTTTGTAAGAATAAATTTGTTATATAGAAATCTAAATCAGTTATAGAGGTTGATTCTAGTCTGGAGAAATTAAAATTGTGTGAATAAATATTATGTGGGGGTGTTTGAAAAAAATTTAAAAATGGAGGCAGAAAAAAAGAATTATTTAAATTTTGAAGAATATTTGATGATGATTTTAAAAATTTACAGTAATAAAGAAGTGAATTTGAATAGCACAATTTTGTGGTTTCTTTTATGATTTGACTAATTTTTTTTTTTGCCTAATTTTTTACTGAAAGAAGAATTTACGAAGTTTTTAGACAATATTAAAATGTTTTTATGATTCTTCTCCAAAATAGTATCAACCTCATTTGTAGACTCTATATAACTTATAAAATTGTTGATGTTGCTGTATCTTGATAAGCTCTGTAAATATTATTTGTATATTATTGTTATTGTTACTTTTTTCAGAATTGTTACATACTTTAGAATTTTTTTCGGTTACTCGAAACTGTATATCTGAAATTTGGTTGACAATAATTTGTTTAAGAGCATTGGAGTCAACAAATTTACAACCAAAGCTATTTAAATAATAAAATAGCTGATCTACACACAATGATTTAAATCGTTTAATGCGTTTGCAATTTTTGTAATCATGTCCTATAAATTATTAAGAAAAATTAATAACATAAACCAATATTGTAAAAATAGTTAAGTATGAATAAAAAATCAGTTTTACATTATTTGCAAAATATTTCCTTTCCATTGGTGCTTTTGTAAAATGGTTACTCTTTAAATGCAGCAAAAATATCTCCTCAGTACAAAAACTCTTTGGGCATAGCGGACAAACAAGAAGTAAAAATTTTGGATTTGATGACTTATCGGTACAATTATATTCATAGGCAATTTTTTCACCGAAACTAACTGTAAAAAATAAAAACAAAAAAATTAAAATTTTATTTCGTTAAGTATTGACCTCTTATTGCATTTATAACGGTAGATAACAAGGCTAGGATCACCTGCTAGCTCAACAATTACTAATGGGGACATCCTAACGAAGCTACAAAAAATGATCGTATCCATAGAAGATATCCCGAGTAACAATTCAAGTTCAGACAATGTTCAGTTGATATCTATTTTGAGTGTCGGACACAGTGCTATTTTGGTTCACAGAAAGTTTTTTTGGAAAATTTGAATACCGAATTTTAACTTGGACGACACCGTGAAGTATACATTCTATGGTAAAATAAAACATCATGGATGGGTGCTCTCATTTACCGTGTTTAATAAATTCAGAGGTCAGTTCAGAAACACTGCATGGGTGCTCTTATTTACCATGTTTAATCGATTCAGTGGTCAGTTTAAAAACCGTGCATGGGTTACATTTAATAACCTGTACTGTATAGTGCCCCGTTTTATTCACACTCGGTGCTACAGTTAAAATTGTAACCGTGCTATGGTGCAGTGGCGTACACAGATATTTTTTATATGGGTAGTAAAATTAAAAATATGTATATATCAAAATATTTTTTAAATTGTATTCATTTTTACATATAGGTATTCATTAAGAGGACGCTACACCCGCATGTGTTGTCTCCGTCTTACACACTGTAGTAAACCGACGTTTTTACACAAAAACGGCGTTCCAAAGGTTAGGTGGCCTGAACAACATCACGCCACCAA